TGGAGAATTTGCAGGAAATCCCTCTGGGAAAAGCCAAATTCTTTCCTTTTATTTGAACAAATTGTGGGATTCCTGTGTCACAGAGGAAGGTGGAGAAGCTCACCAGTGGTCCCAGCTGCAGGTGAGTGACCTCCCCTGTTGAGAGTTTGCAGGAAATGTGGGAAAATCCAGATTCTCTCCTTTTAGCTGGATAAATTGTGGGATTTCCTCTGCTCTTTGTGGCTCTCGGTGCCGTGGATCAGTTGCTGAGGAGCTCTTAGGTCACGGCTTGGATCTTAAAGATCTTTTCCAACCTGGATCATTCTGTGGAGATTTCACTGAGGAGTTTTCCACGGAACGAGAAGGATCCAGAGCTGAATCTTTGGGGCTCTGAAGAGCTCAGCCAGCCCAGCCCCAGCTCATTCCAAACTCTTCCCATCACCTGCAGCAGTGAGGATGCCACGGGCTGTCCCCCCCATCACTGGGCTTGGTGCCTTAGGATTTTAATTTTTATATTTGTAACCCTGCAGTTCTTTAGGGTAGAGCTCTAAACTCCACGCACAGTGTGAGCTGCTGCTCTCCCATTTTTGCTCACACACAAAAATTCCTCTCCAGGCTGGGAATCAAAGACCCCTCACTCCTCAGGCCCCGAGATGGAAACAAAAGTGAGGTCCAGACCCATTTATGTGAGGTTCATTCCCATTTTTATGGGGTTCAGTCCAGTTTTTATGAGGTTCAGTCCCATTTTTGTGAGGTCCAGTGCATTTCTGTCAGGTTCAGTCCCATTTTTCTGAGTTTCAGACCCATTTTTATGAGATTCAGACCCATTTTTGTGAGAACAGTCCCATTTTTGTGAAGTTCATTCCCATTTTTGTGATGTTTATTCCCACTTTTGTGATGTTTATTCCCATTTTTGTGAGATTCAGACCCATTTTTGTGAAGTTCATTCCCATTTTTGTGATGTTTATTCCCACTTTTGTGAGGTTCATTCCCATTTTTGTGAGACCAGTCCCATTTTTGTGAGGTTCAGACCCGTTTTTATGAGATTCAGTCCAGTTTTTCTGAGTTTCAGACCCATTTTTGTGAGGTTCATTCCCATTTTTCTGAGTTTCACACCCATTTTTATGAGATTCAGACCCATTTTTGTGAGGTTCAGACCCATTTTTCTGAGTTTCAGACCCATTTTTCTGAGTTCCAGTCCCATTTTTCTGACATTCACTCCATTTTTCAGTGCTGTGGGCTCAGGGCAGCTCCTGTCCCCTCTGTCCCCGAGTTTTTTTTCACTGCTCACCCTGAGCTTTGTGGTTTTTTTCAGCTCCCTGTCCCTTTTTTGCTGAAGGTGTTGATGCAGCCCTGCCTTTGCTGTCACAGCTCAGAGGAGAGAATTTCTCTCTCCTTTGCACGGATGGTGCCAGAGCACGCAGAATCAACCACCAGGAATTTTCCTCCACCCTTCAGTTTTTTTTTTAATTTTTTTTTAAATTTTTTGTTGTGTGTATGTGTGCCATAAACCAATTTTCATATTTTCCACTGCACTGAGCTATCATCTGTCAGCCTGTCCAAACTCAAAACCATCACACTTCGTTCAGGCAGAAAAAGAAAAACAAAAATACCGAGTTTAATTTTTTTTATTTTTATATTTTTTTAAAAAAAGTCTTTTGGGTATAGTTCTTTATTAACGCTTTAAAATATTCATTGTGTTTTAATATTTATTGGCTGTTTAATATAGAATTTTGATTTGTTTCATACATTCTTAAATAGGTTTATTCCCCTGTAGAAATTGAATTTCTCAAGTCATAGAGATCGAAACTTTTTCCCTGGGGCTGAGGTCGCTGTCCAGAAAATCGTGCCACAGGTGGAGACATCCAGAAATTTCCTTTTCCTGGGGGCAGCAGGGGAGGCTGAGCATTGCCCATGAAAAAACTGCCTGGAATTCTCCTGAGGGACACAACATAAACGGGGAGGCAACAAAAGCCAAGCGAGGAGATTTTTATTTTTTATATTTTATATTTTTTTATTTTTTATTTTTTATTTTTATTTTTTAATTTTTATTTTTTTTATTTTTTACTCTTTATTTTTTAATGTTTTATTTTTGTTTTTTTAATTTTTTAATGTTTTTATTTTTATTTTATTTTTTAATTTTTATTTTTTATTTTTTAATGTTTTATTTTTGATGTTTTAATGTTTTATTTTTGATTTTTATTTTTGATTTTTATTTTTGATTTTTATTTTTTACTCTATTTTTTAATGTTTTATTTTTGTTTTTATATTTTTTAATGTTTTATATTTTTTAATGTTTTATTTTTGATTTTTTATTTTTAATGTTTTATTTTTTAATTTTTTATTTTTGATTTTTTAATGTTTTATTTTTGATTTTTTATTTTTATTTTTTAATGCTTTTTCTTTTTTGATGTTTTATTTTTTATTTTTAATTTTTTATTTTTAATTTTTTATGTTATATGTTTTATTTTTTATGGTTTTTATTTTTTATTTTTAATTTTTTGTGTTATATGTTTTATTTTTTATGGTTTTTATTTTTTATTTTTATTTTTAATTTTTAATTATTTTTAATTTTTTAATTTTTATGTTATATTTTTTATGGTTTTAATGTTTTATTTTTGATTTTTTATTTTTAATTTTTTAATTTTTATTTTTTAATTTTTTAATTTTTTAATTTTTCTGTTATATGTTTTATTTTTTATGTTTTTTATTTTTTTATTTTTTTATTTTTAATTTTTTATTTTTTTCCAGGCAGCAGCCTCATCTCCTGGCTTTGCTCCTCGGGCTTTGCTCTGCAGGGAAATCTCTCGTGTCCCGCGGTGACACTGAAATATTGGCCAACCTTGCCGGGGCTGGGGGGAGCTCTCCACCCCTGCCGGCACAGTTTGGTCCCTGGCGCTCGGGGAAAATCACGTTAAGGCATTTCTGGGCGAGGTTTCCTTTCCCCCACCACAATTAGGATTCATTTTT